TTTGTTGTTGTGGGTGTGTGGTGTGGTGGGGGTGGGGGGTGGGGTGGGGGGGGGGGGGGGGGGGGGGGTTGTCAGGCGTGTCTGTGTCTCTATGGCGACAGGCGTGTTCTCTGAGTCTGCACATGCTCAAGACATCTCAATTAATTTAGTGCCTCTCAACATGTTTGTCCAAGTTAATATCTGAAGGCTTCTCATGAAGACGCAGACATTTCTGATACTTCAGTTGTAATGGCAAAGCTTTTTTACTTCACAGAAACTAGGACTGCCGATATATAAAAACAATAAATATCTGAAATGAAAATGTGGATTCTGTAATTCAAGAAGTTTCACAGGTTCACACTAAATTCCTGGATGAGGTTTATCTAAACAAGATTTTGACAAACAAGTTTGACAAAAACTAGAAAATGTTCTTATTGAAAATTCAATGAACTTTTCAGCTCTGGAAATCACAATTTAAAATTCATCATATCCAGATTTCCCAGAACTGTGAGAATGCTGGTTCTTCAGTGCAAATATCAGTAGAGAGCGGATTAAAATAATAAATATAATGTCCGTTTACATGCTGATTTTGGTTTAAGAGTATCTCTCTCTCGCTCGCTCAACCAGTCAAGCTGAATCAACATGATCCGCTAGCAACCGTTTGTGCAGCGGTCTGCTTATAAACCTGCGGTGAGGATGAGTCAGGCACGCTTGTGAGCTGACAGGTGCAAACTAGTCTGACCAGTGGACTAGTATTAGTTTAGTCATGCTGAGAGTGGGCTACCAGCGGTATGTTTACACGCTCTGGCCAGCCGCGCAGGTACGGTGTTTTTGATCATTATCATTATGTCGTAGTTTCACACATGTGATGCAGAATAAACTGGTTAAAGCTTCGTTTAGAGACCTCATGTTTTCCGTGAGCTGTTCTTAGTAACGGTCCAGGATGCACACGTTCAACTGAAGATCTCTTATCATCTCTGTGTGTGTTATTGGTCTGCTTGTGTTTGGTGCAGGTCAGTGGCAGTGGAGATCCTGTGTCAGAGGTCAAGACTGACCCTAAACCCGCTGCAGAGAACGGGCTGAACCACGACAGCATCTCGCCCAAATCCTCTGTGGTCAGTCACCAGACGTCATCCTCAGGTGTGTGACGCGTGTCCAGCGGCTGCGCTGTAATGCTGTGTTCACGTGTAGAATCAGGACGACATCATCTGTGTGTGTGTGTGTGTGTGTGTGTGTGTGTGTGTGTGTGTGTGTGTGTGTGTGTGTTTCAGGGTCGGTCAAACCTGCTGTGAAGTCTGAAGATGTGGTCCAGAGTGTTTTAACAGGTATGTGTCTGAGGTTCACATCCGTCTCTGGTGATCTGGGGCCCGTTCTTCATACGTCGCTAACTCCGTTAGCTGGATTTGATTGTTGATGATTTGGCTTGATCTTGGATTGTTTGGTTCTTCGAAGCTATATCCCGGAGTTGCTGTCATAGCAACAGGTCCGTAAGCTTAAACCTACTCGGGAGCAGCTTATTTAATGTAAACAGGATTAGATTGCATCTTTTTAAGCAGAACTGATACTTAAAATCTGTCCCAGCCACTGCTACTTTATTAGAAGAGTACCCTACTGATCCAAGGACAGTAATTTATAATAATAATCATTTAAAAATTAATGTAAAAAATATTATAATGTATAGACAGGTTTACTCGTTGAAAAATGTATTCGTGGTAAAATAATTACTTTATAATTGTTTTGGAGTCTTACACACATGCTGTTCAGAGTCGTGCATTAGTTTGAGTGCTGACAGATATTATAGCAGTGGCTTGATGGAGCGCAGGAGATGCAGATAACATGATCTTGACCCTTAAGAAGCTTTAATTAATGCTGTCACGTAACAAATCTGCTTCAAAGATAAAATACAATTTTTTTTGCTAATTACAACATTGAAATAAAAATGTAATGCTTGTACAAATACTAGAAATCGTGAATATAAATAATTGGGAATCATGTAAAAAATAATGATAAAATAAAATAAAAACTGTACACATTTCATGTATCTATTATAACTGCATCAGAAACAGGTATCATGTTTCGTAACTTGGCAATGTTTCTAAGATGGAAGAATGCCGTTTTTGTAACATGGGAAATATGATTTTCAAAAGACAAGTTGCTATCTAATATAACACCCAGATTTTTGACTGTAGAGGAGGTAACCGTGCATCCGTCTAGTTGCAAATTGTAATCCACGAGATTCGGCGTACTGTCTTTTGGTATGTAGTTTTGTTCACTTGGCTGTTTCCTTATAAAGGTCCAGAAGTTTGTCAAGTTTTTCGTCAGGTGTCTTTTTTAATGATATGATGTCATTACGTTGCTGTCTTGCCGGCAGCCAATCGCTGCACTGCTGATCGTGGATTCGAGTATCGATACGTCTGCTCATTACGGAGAGCACGAGAACGCGCAGTAATCTCAGACAATTTAATCCAGATATTTTAATCAGATCCGCAAATTAGTTTGAAGAACCAAATTAGCCAGAGATCAGAAGATCTGGCATCTGAGATGTATTAAGCGAGGTACGAAGCTGAGACCGCTTGTGTTCGGATCACAGACACGGATGTTAATCCAGCTGGAAACGATGATGAGAGCGTCTCAAATACACCAGAAGAGCCCATTTCATGTCAAGTCACATTTATTTCTGATGTGATTTATACAATACAGATTGTTTCACAACACCTTCACAGAAATAAACCGTGTTAATGTTGCAAAATTCATCAGTTATGAAATAAATTCAGTTTCAACTGCAGAAGACAATAGTGCGATTATTCAGATCAATTCAGATCAGTAACTGTGTCAGTGTTGCAAAATTATGAAATCAAGTTAATTTCATATTAACTTGTATAATTATAAAGTTTTACTCCAGGATCTCATGATTACTCTTATTCTGTGTGTGTGTGTGTGTGTGTGTGTGTTTGTCTCTCTGTGTTTGTCTCTCTGTGTGTGTCTCTGTGTGTGAGTGCGAGAGCGAGTGTGTGTGTGCGTGCGTGCGTGTGTGTGTGTGTGTGTGTGTGTGTGTGTGTGTGTGTCTCTGTGTCAGAGGTGGACGCTCAGTCTGTAGATGAACTGAAACAGATGAAGGGTTATTTGAGGGAGCAGAAGAAGCAGTACAAAGAACTAAAGGAGCTCATGAGGAAACACAACAAGAAAATGAACGAGCTGATCAACGAACACGCGTCCAGACAGAAGCAGCTGCGCAGGTCTGCGCTGCAGAAGAGGTGAGTTTCTCTGAGATCAGCCTGCCGTCTGCGCCGGTTCTGTCGTCTGATGCGCTGTGCTCCTGCAGGTGTGTGTCGGATCAGGATCAGGATCTGCTGGCGCTGGCGCAGGAGAGGTGTGAGAAACTGAAGGAGCAGCAGCAGCGGCAGCTCCTCACACTCAGACAGGAGCAGTTCTACAGCGAGAAGTACCTCAAACGAGAGCACGTCAAACTGGTGATTACTCACTGTGTCACTCATCATGCTGATTACTGCCATAATCACTGAAATAAAGAGAACCTGTACAAATCCCGTACACATGCTACACAGCATTACTGGGATTATTTGCCTGGGATTCATTTAGTCACTAAATTACTTTTTAGTAAATTGTCATTTGTGATATTTTAGCTACACATTCTCATATCTTGAACATCTTAAGCCTTCATGAACGTTTGTCTAAAAGAACCGGTTCATACGAGTCGTTTGTTCATACGAGTCGTTTGTTCATACGAGTCTTTTGTTCATACGAGTCTTTTGTTCATACGAGTCTTTTGTTCATAAGAGTCATTTGTTCATACGAGTCGTTTGTTCATAAGAGTCGTTTGAAGTGAACATGCAGGCCACAATCAGTAGTGTGATTTACATGTGTTTCAACTACCTTAATCGCATTATAAGGGCTTATAAAAAAGAAAGAATATAAAAATGCCTGTTGTTTTGTGTGAGTGGTAGGTTTGATGTAGAGCGATAGAAAATACAGTTTGTACAGTAGAAAAACCATTACGCCTATGGAGAGTCCCTACAAGGATAGTGAACCAGAGTGTGTGTGTGTGAGTGTGCGCTTGCGTGTGTGTGTGTGTGTGTGTGTGTGAGTGTGTGTGTGTGTGTGTGTGTGTGCGCTTGCGTGTGTGTGTGTGTGTGAGTGTGTGCGCTTGCGTGTGTGTGTGTTTGTGAGTGTGTGCGCTTGCGTGTGTGTGTGTGTTGGTGTGAGTGTGTGTGTGTGTGTGTGTGTGCGCCTGTGTGTGTGAGTGTGTGTGTGTATGTGTCAGCAGTGTCTGCGCTTCATCAGGTTTGACTGGAAAGTGTTGTGCAGCAGAACTGCTGACTGTTTTCTCCTGCTGCATCAGACTCTTATTTCTCTTGATTTACTGATGACGAGGAACACTCCGTCGCTGACGCTGCAGGCTGGTGTTAAACACACATCTGAGTCTCCACACTTTCATATGCAACAAATAAAGGGCGGGACTTAGTTCTGTCCGTCACTGCTGTCTGGATTTGAGAAGTCGGCCAATCAGATTGTGTTTCCTGTCGTTAGCGTGTGCTGTACATCAGCGGTGTGACATGTTGACTTACCTACATGTTGGCTTTCTCTTCGTGTGTAGCTTGTGGAGAAGCTCACGGCTGTGGCAGAAGAGTGTCAGAATAACCAGCTGAAGAAACTGAAGGATCTGTGTGAGAAGTAAGAGATATTAAAGTGATCATTCAGCCACAAATCATCATTTACTCTCCTCATGTCCTTCAAACCTGTGGCTTTCTTTTTCAATTAAACACAAAAGAAGATTTTTTTTAAACATGTCTTTGTCCATTTAATGAAAGTCTGTGGTCTGATGTTGTTTGGACAACACTGTCCCTCAAAATATCTTATGATTTTTTTTTTCAGAGAAAACAAAGACTTGAAGAAAAGGATGGACAAGAGACGACAGGAGAAGTTTCAAGAAGCCCGAACGCTGGAGAAGACTCTGACTGAGGAGTGAGTGATCTGCCGTTTCCCAGCAGTCTTTGTGCGGGTCTTCAGATCATGTGTTCATGGATCCTCAGCTCTGCTAACCAGTCAGAGTTTACAGCTTGAGGCCTCAAGTCAAGTCAAGTCCCCTTTATTTATAAAGCGCTTTCTACAATACTGATTGTGTCAAAGCAGCTTTACGGTCTATATCTATGTCAGTAATGCAAGACAATAACGCAGTCATTTTTCAGCTGAAGTCAGTTCATTGATGATTCAGTGATGTCTTCATCCAGTTCAGCTCTCTTCAATAGTGTCTGTGCAATCAGTCAAGCGTCCCCAGCTAAACAAACCAAAGAAACCCAATCTCCATCAGTGACAGAAATGGAGGAAAACCTGTAGTAATAAGACTGCTAGTGGCCAGTGTGATACAGATCATGACCAGACATGCTTGACACTGAAAGGAAAAATCATCCTGTTTTGTAGGAAAAAGATGGAGATGAACAGATCACACGTGAACGAGGTGGTGCAGTCCATCAAACGGGTGAGTGCAGGGCGTAGCCATCATTTCAGAAGTGAGGGGGACAGAAATGTTAAATATATATAATAACACATTACAATATAACATTTCTGTAATCTATATAACCTACCAGTCAACAGTTGTTGAACAGTAAGATTAATGTTTTATAAAGAAGTCTCTTCTGCTCACCAAGCCTGCATTTATTTGATTCAAAGTACAGCAAAAGCAGTAATGTTGTGAAATATTTGTACTATTTAAAATAACTGTTTTCTATTTGAATATATTTTTAAATGATTTCTGTGATGTGCAGCTGTATTTTCAGCATCTTCAGTGTCACATGATCTTCAGAAATCAGTATAATATGCTGATCTGCTGCTCGAGAAACATTTCTGATTATTATTATGATCAATATTTAAAACAGTTGAGTAAATTTTTTCAGGATTCTTTGATGAATAGAAAGATCCAAAGATCAGTATTTATGTGAAATAAAAAGCTTTTGTAACATTATACACTCTACACCACTCAAAAGCTTAGAGTCAGTATAATTTGTATTTTTTTGGAAAATAAATGATATAAATGAACACTTTTATTTAGCAAGGATGCTTTAAATTGATCAAAAGTGATGATAAAGACATTTCTATTTCAGATAAATGCGGTTCTTCTGAACTTTCTATTCATCAAAGAAACCTGAAAAAATTCTACTCAGCTGTTTTCATCATAATAATAATAATAATAAATGTTTTTTGAGCTGCAAATCAGCATATTATAATGATTTCTGAAGGATCGTGTGACTGGAGTAATGATGCTAAAAATTTAGCTTTGAAATCACAATAAATTATATTTTAAAATATATTCAAATAGAAAATAGTTGTTTCAAATAGCCTAGTAAAAATATTTCAAAATGTTACTGTTTTGCTGTACTTTGGATCAAATAAATGCAGGCTTGGTGAACAGAAGAGACTTCTTTAAAAAACATTAAAAATCTAACTGTTCAGAAACGTTTGACTGGCAGTGTATAGTCAACTTTAATTGTTCTCTAATTTCTAGCTTTTAATTGACTTAGAAATCAGATAACTATAACTGGACAATAAGCAATAATAATGATTTGTTTATATACTACAAACACTTTTTTTTTATCACATAAGGCAGAATAGTTTCTATACTGTAATAAATGCTATGTCAGTTAGCACTGCATTGTTCATATACTTTATTTATTACCTGGAGATGACTTGACAAACACAAGTAAACCATATACTGTCGCAATCGTATGTTTAATGTCTTCATGTTTCCAAACGTTACTGTTTCCTGTGAAAACAACTGTTTTCATACAGCGATAGCTGGACGCTTTTGTCCATATTAGGGATTTCCTCATACGACTTTCTGCGCGAGAGCGCCCCCGGCTTCGAGTATAAATGAAACACACACTGCACGAGTGTTTAGCGCTCCGCGATGTTCATCTCGCCTTATTCTGGGTCCGAATAAAACATCAGATCATGCACAGACTATCCTGTCTCTTTGAATTTAAATCTATATTTATTCACACCGGCTCTTGAAAACCTCTGTGTGAACACACTTGCCCAAAAAAGTGCGGGGGACGCATTTACGTGATATAGACTTCAGTTTATTAAAGAGAAAACATGGTTTGTACCGAACGCCGTGTGTTTTGTGCTGTGAATTACTGGCTGCTAGGATGAGGATTATTTTATTTCATTAACTGTGTACAGGTGCATCTCAATAAATTAGAATGTCGTGGAAAAGTTCATTTATTTCAGTAATTCATCTCAAATTGTGAAACTCGTGTATTAAATAAATTCAGTGCACACAGACTGAAGTAGTTTAGGTCTTTGGTTCTTTTAATTGTGATGATTTTGTCTCACATTTAACAAAATCCCACCAATTCACTATCTCAACAAATTAGAATATGGTGACATGCTAATCAGCTAATCAACTCAAAACACCTGCAAAGGTTTCCTGAGCCTTCAAAATGGTCTCTCAGTTTGGTTCACTAGGCTACACAATCATGGGGAAGACTGCTGATCTGACAGTTGTCCAGAAGACAATCATTGACACCCTTCACAAGGAGGGTAAGCCACAAACATTCATTGACAAAGAAGCTGGCTGTTCACAGAGTGCTGTATCCAAGCATGTTAACAAAGTTGAGTGGAAGGAAAAAGTGTGAAAGAAAAAGATGCACAACCAACCGAGAGAACCACAGCCTTATGAGGATTGTCAAGCAAAATCAATTCAAGAATTTGAGTGAACTTCACAAGGAATGGACTGAGGCTGGGGTCAAGGCATCAAGAGCCACCACACACAGACGTGTCAAGGAATTTGGCTACAGTTGTCGTATTCCTCTTGTTAAGCCACTCCTGAACCACAAACAACGTCAGAGGCGTCTTACCTGGGCTAAGGAGAAGAAGAACTGGACTGTTGCCCAGTGGTCCAAAGTCCTCTTTTCAGATGAGAGCAAGTTTTGTATTTCATTTGGAAACCAAGGTCCTAGAGTCTGGAGGAAGGGTGGAGAAGCTCATAGCCCAAGTTGCTTGAAGTCCAGTGTTAAGTTTCCACAGTCTGTGATGATTTGGGGTGCAATGTCATCTGCTGGTGTTGGTCCATTGTGTTTTTTGAAAACCAACGTCACTGCACCCGTTTACCAAGAAATTTTGGAGCACTTCATGCTTCCTTCTGCTGACCAGCTTTTTGAAGATGCTGATTTCATTTTCCAGCAGGATTTGGCACCTGCCCACACTGCCAAAAGCACCAAAAGTTGGTTAAATGACCATGGTGTTGGTGTGCTTGACTGGCCAGCAAACTCACCAGACCTGAACCCCATAGAGAATCTATGGGGTATTGTCAAGAGGAAAATGAGAAACAAGAGACCAAAAAATGCAGATGAGCTGAAGGCCACTGTCAAAGAAACCTGGGCTTCCATACCACCTCAGCAGTGCCACAAACTGATCACCTCCATGCCACGCCGAATTGAGGCAGTAATTAAAGCAAAAGGAGCCCCTACCAAGTATTGAGTACATGTACAGTACATGAACATACTTTCCAGAAGGCCACCAATTCACTAAAAATGTTTTTTTATTGGTCTTATCAGAATGAGTTTTTATTGCCAGGTATGTTTACACATACGAGGAATTTGTTTTCATGACAGAAGCTCCACAGTGTAACAGAATGACAGTGACAGAACAAAAACACAGATAATAAAAAATAGAAAAGAAAAATAGAACAAGTATGAAGTATTCTAATTTGTCGAGATAGTGAATTGGTGGGTTTTTGTTAAATGTGAGCCAAAATCATCACAATTAAAAGAACCCAAGACTTAAACTACTTTCACAATTTGAGTTGAATTACTGAAATAAATGAACTTTTCCACGACATTCTAATTTATTGAGATGCACCTGTATTTTACTGTGACTGGTCCTGCAGTTACATCATTACACCTGTAAGTGTCAGCAAATGACTGTCTTTATGAAGCAGTGAATCATGTCTTATTGCGTATTGGACAGACTGGAAGATAGTGTGTGAATTATAGTGTGCACTTGTAGTGTATTGAGCAGCTGTATTTAATCAATATGGCATTCACAGTCAGAACATCAGTCATGTGATCAGCTGCAGCCAATCACAGCTGTGATTATATTCAGAACAGCATTAGGACTATGATCCTGTTTAATATTTTATTGTAAGTATATTTTTGCTGCTTTTGTATGGTAAATAATGTTAGTAGTGTGTTGAGGGCTGTCTGCTGTTGAGAAGCTCTGATCCAGATCTCTGGGAGAAACTGCTGGATCAGCGATCGATCAGTCAGATGTTGGTGTTTGAGGGTTAGTTCTGTGTTTCTATGTTCATGAACATCTCTCGTGGCAGTATTTTGCCGACATGTTCATCGCTGTGCTGTCACGTGTAGATTCCGTGTACTGGAACACGTCTGTGAGCCTGTGCGTGTTTGTGTGTTTTCCAGCTGGAAGAAGCTCAGGACAAACGACTGCAGAGATTGCTGGAAAAACATAAAGATATTCGACAGCAAATCCTGGGAGACAAACCAAAGGTACGAGCCGTTGTAGAGATTCATGATGTGAATGTGACTCACAGATACACTCACAGACACACGCGCACACACACAAACATACACGCGCGCACACACACACACATACACACGCGCGCACACACAGCCACACACACACACACACACATACACGCGCGCGCGCACACACACACATACACACGCACATATACACACACACAGAGTTACACTCACACACATACACACACACACACACACAGAGAGATACATTCACAGACACACACACAGACATACACACGCACACACACATACACGCGCGCACACACACACATACACACATACATGCGCGCACACACACACACACACACGCACATATACACACACACATACACACACACACACACACACACACAGAGATACATTCACAGACACACACACAGACATACACGCGCACACACAGAGATACACACACAGACATACACGCGCACACACACACATACACACGCACATATACACACACACACACACACACACACAGAGTCACACACACACACACACAGATACACACACAGACACACACACAGACATACACGCGCATACACACACACACACACACACACACAGAGATACACTCACAGACACGCGCGCACACACACACACACATACATTCACAGACACACACACACAGATACATTCACAGACACACATACACACACACACACAGAGTTACACTCATAGACAGACACGCACACAGATATACACACACACACACACAGTTACACTCATAGACACGCACACAGACATACACGCGCTCACAGACACACACACACACACATACACACTCAGATACACTAACAGACACACACACAGACATACAGACACACTCAGATACACTAACAGACACACACACAGACATACACGCGCACACACAGAGATACACTCACAGACACATACGCGCACACACACACACACTCAGATACACACATACACACACACAGACATACACGCGCACACACACACCGATACACTCACATACTCTTACACACACTCACAGACACATGCGTGCACGCACACATACACACATACACACACACAGATACACTCACAGACACACGCGCGCACACACACACATACACTCACCGATACACGCACACACACACACAGAGATACACACACTCACAAACGCACGCACTCACACACAGATACTCACACACTCACACACACACATACCTGCGGTGTGTTCGTGTCTCCTCACTGTCACTGTTATTTTAGGAGGACGGATCACAGGAAGTGGAAGGTAAGTAGTTCTGCATCCCAGCATTCAGTTCATCACAGATACTCATCTGACATTCAGGTTAATGGTTGTGTTTCCTGAGCCGCTGAAATTAACCAAAATCCAAACTCTGGATCATAACAACCTCATCCAACCATCTTCTAATAACCAGCTTTACTGACCCGTGTGTGTGTGTGTGTGTGTGAGAGTGAGTGTGTGTGTATCTGTTTGTGTGTAACTGTGAGTGTGTCTGTGTGTGTGTATCTGTGAGTGAGTGAGTGAGTGTGTGCGTGTGTGTTTGCGCCTTGTTGAGGTGATATACAGTATGTACACTGTATGTCCTGGTTTGTTTCATTTTTGCGGTTCGTTACAGGGATAGTCCATCCAAAAAATGACCATTCGGTCTCATTTGCTCTCCAGACCTGTATGACTCTTCAGTGTAACACAAACAGTTATTTTGAGGAATGATGGAAGATCCAAACACCAGACGCCACTGATTTTCATTATGTGGACCAAAAAAATTAGACAATTTCTCAAAATATTTCTTTTACATTTCAGAGAAGAAAGTCATACAGATTTATAATGAAAAATAAAATGTAATGAAATTAGATTAAATTCTAGCTGAAATCAACTTCAGGAAATAAGCTAGTTCAACTCTGAACGGTGCACAACCCTGCTCACTACAAATGCTGATACAATTACCGAGCGCCGGTCTGTTGCCCTATGACAGGAAATAGTAAATCAGACAACTCACAGCACACACATACCCACCCACTGGGACAGACCTCCCTCAGATAAAAGCTCCAAAATAAGATCCCTGGAGACAAGACATCATCTAAACCCTTCTTCCACCACACACACATACATATTAAGATACATAAAACAAGGCACTGCCCAGTAAAACCACTTTTTACAACTGCAACCTACACTGTGATGGCTACTTGATTGATCCATTGTGACTAGTACTGCCATATAAATACAAACAGATCCGTTAACCTATTATCTGCATTATCCCGCGGGGAGAAAATCCCCATGTTCACTGATGTGGAACCACTTTAGAGATCTAAATTAGTTAACGGGAACATCTGATGGTACAGGACAGGAGGTCTGTGGTTTAAAGAGATGTTTGAAAGTGTGTGTGTTTGTGTGTTAGCCATATGAGAGAAATTTAGGGTTAAACACCAGCTGGCTTGGTGACTGGTTCAACACACACACACACACATACATTCACAGACACACACACACAGATACATTCACAGACACACATACACACACACACACAGAGTTACACTCATAGACAGACACGCACACAGATATACACACACACACACACAGTTACACTCATAGACACGCACACAGACATACACGCGCTCACAGACACACACACACACACATACACACTCAGATACACTAACAGACACACACACAGACATACAGACACACTCAGATACACTAACAGACACACACACAGACATACAGACACACTCAGATACACTAACAGACACACACACAGACATACAGACACACTCAGATACACTAACAGACACACACACAGACATACAGACACACTCAGATACACTAACAGACACACACACAGACATACAGACACACTCAGATACACTAACAGACACACACACAGACATACACGCGCACACACACACCGATACACTCACATACTCTTACACACACTCACAGACACATGCGTGCACGCACACATACACACATACACACACACAGATACACTCACAGACACACGCGCGCACACACACACATACACTCACCGATACACGCACACACACACACAGAGATACACACACTCACAAACGCACGCACTCACACACAGATACTCACACACTCACACACACACATACCTGCGGTGTGTTCGTGTCTCCTCACTGTCACTGTTATTTTAGGAGGACGGATCACAGGAAGTGGAAGGTAAGTAGTTCTGCATCCCAGCATTCAGTTCATCACAGATACTCATCTGACATTCAGGTTAATGGTTGTGTTTCCTGAGCCGCTGAAATTAACCAAAACCCAAACTCTGGATCATAACAACCTCATCCAACCATCTTCTAATAACCAGCTTTACTGACCCGTGTGTGTGTGTGTGTGTGTGTGTGAGTGTGTGTGTGAGAGTGAGTGTGTGTGTATCTGTTTGTGTGTAACTGTGAGTGTGTCTGTGTGTGTGTATCTGTGAGTGAGTGAGTGTGTGTGTGCGTGTGTGTTAGCGCCTTGTTGAGGTGATATACAGTATGTACACTGTATGTCCTGGTTTGTTTCATTTTTGCGGTTCGTTACAGGGATAGTCCATCCAAAAAATGACCATTCGGTCTCATTTGCTCTCCAGACCTGTATGACTCTTCAGTGTAACACAAACAGTTATTTTGAGGAATGATGGAAGATCCAAACACCAGACGCCACTGATTTTCATTATGTGGACCAAAAAAATGAGACAATTTCTCAAAATATTTCTTTTACATTTCAGAGAAGAAAGTCATACAGATTTGAACGAGTAAATGATGACAACAATGATTTTCTCCTCTTTTTCTGGCGAACTATCACTAAGAGAAAAGCACTTTTTGCACGTAGAAACTTTAATCTGGTCAGAGAACATGAACTACTTCCCTTCATTGTCAGGCTGTTGATGAATTAAACATCGAGAATGTATCCTCAGTTCCAGCCAGTGCTCGCTGGCGCTGAGTATTGATGAAGCAGGTGTGTTGTTGCGGTTTTTCTTTGTAAATGATGTGTTTGGGGCCTCAGTTCAGCTCAGCGTCACTAGAGGGCGTCATAGTGCAGTTAAACACGTCACAACACTTCAGATGATAGACTGATCAATTATGCAGCATCAGTCCATCTGGGCCTTGCTTCCCATCAGGAGTTATTCTGTAATCTGTGTGTCAGGAACACCTCGTTCTCAGCCGTGTCACAGTTAGTTTGGTGAGCAAACTTCACAGTGTGTCAGAAGCAGGTCAGCGGAGTCTCATCTGTGCTTGTGTTTGGATCAGGAACCGGTTTGAAGATAAAGTAACCAGGATGAAGCTGAAATCCTGCCCTCTGTGAGAACATGAGTGAGAGAGAGAGGCCTGACCTATTTTTACGCTTGGATCAGGCACTAATGGACAGCTATAAGCATCCCGGGTCTTCAGAGACCTGCAGAACCCTCTCTGCTCTCAGCTGATGAAAGCGTTGAGAGATTTCTCCTGCAAACTGACAGCTGTAGCTACTCTGCCAGCAGCAGCCTGTATACGTATATAGCTGCTGTCACACCTCAGCGTGCGCGTGTTAGTGCCCTGCTAGCGCTCCAATAAGATCAGCCGGCGGGATCCACGCGCGCAGCGTGTCTCAGGCTGATTAGATCTGACTTTCAGGTTCACTTTGGTGTTTGTTTCATGAACTTCCCAGCGAGGTGAGCGCGATGAGGGAACGTTGGCAGCTCTTCGTCAGGCCGTGCTCAGTGTTATGCATGCTACCGCTTGGCCTCTGGATGAGCTGTGCTGTTTCTGGGGTGTTTTTACACTTCTGGTCTTGTGATGTTTTGTTGCAGGGTGGCAGACGTGTTTCTCTCTGAAAGCGTGTTGATGCTGAATGAAGCTGCAGGCCGCGACGGTCATATGACTTCACAAACAGGAGCGCTGTGCCATCGCCATGGCAACACTCATCCCGCTCTCAACCCCATAATAACCAGAGCAGGTGTTGCTCTCCTCACTCAGCCAAACATGAACATATTTATACCATGATGCTCTTTGTTGACTCTGTTCATGTGTCGTGGTATTGAAAGGAGTTTGCTCATCTATTCAGCATATGACCGTATTTTTACAGTGTTTTTGGTCCATTCTGGACACGGAACTATGAATCTTAATTTCTCCTTCAGTCTTCCAAAGCACAAAAATAACTGAGCTTGATTTTGAGAAGACATGAGGGACAGTAAAAGAATTTCAAAAAAATGTTAAAAAAATACTGTGGTATTACAATCATAGTATTGTCCAAAAAAGCATGCTATATTTTGATGGCAAAAGTGCAGCACTGCAGTAGACGGTGAGCGAGAGCCAGATGGAGACGTCTGTGAGGCACACGGAGCAGATGGAGGCTGCGTTCGGCTGGGCCCCCGCTGGAAACACGCCTCAGTCGCTGCAGCCCACGCTCTCGCTGTGACCGTGCTCATCCCGTGTTTGATGTGAGCCGCTCTTCATTAATAATTCACACGACCCTCCTGATCCTCGCCAGGGAAGCACTGTCACTCGATAAAGACCCGAGGAGCAGAAACAAACCGTGATCCGGCTGGAAATAACCTGCTCTCGCAGAGGAAAGACGCAGAGTGATTGTTCAGCACGGAAATGATGATTAATCATTAATGTCATGCATTAGATGCTGATGGAGTCATAAAGTCAGTCTGTTAGTGAGCGTTTGTGAGCGTGCGGGTGATTACATGACGAGTGTGAAACGGGAACGTTCAGCTAAAGTAATTCAGTCTCTGCCCAATCTAGATTTCAGCAGCTTGGCATCCCTCGATGCGGACCAGAATTAGGACAGCTGTTGAAGAAGGTCGTTCTGCTCCCCGAGTGCTTTAAGAGCGCGGTGGAATTGGACGTGAGCATGGTTTGTTGACAGATGACGAGTCTTTTGAGGAAAGACATTTTTAACTGCGAGTTGGGAGGGAACAGAAACTAGAATGGGCCGTGCTTTCATCGGCAGGTCTCTTTGGGTCAGTGAATCCACTGACTTCAGGGTTTTGAGGTGTTTCTCAGCTCTGCTGCTTGAAGGGACGGTGGATTTGTCCGTGTGTGTAAGTCACGATCATGTGAGCGGTCGAAGTGGCCTGAATCGTTATTCTTCTTGACTGCGGCTCGTACAGTAACCGTGTGTAGCTGAAGCCTTGACGACTCTCTCGTAACCTTTAATTAGCTGTGTTTCCACACTGACCCAGGTGATAAAGACGTGGCTCGTCTGAGGTGGGAACGGTTGGCAGGAGTCGCAGCTTAGTGTCAAACACAGTTGGGCGTCTCGGCTTTATGGCTTTGTGTCTTGTCCAGCAGGGGACAGCAGATGTCCTTCCCCGAAGTAGGTCGGGCTTTGTGCGGGATCCATCTGTTGCTGTCAGCCGACTGAAGATATGATTTTCTAGAAGGTGACCTTTGAGACTAAACCGGTTTGAGAAATTGGGATGTGCAAGTGTAGCACTCAGGAGAAATGATGTTAGTTTTAGTTTTCTGTGCTGGTAAAGAACTGTACATTAGGCTTCCTGACGTAACCAGCTCGAAGCAGTGCATGCAAGTACTAACCCTGTTCTGAGGGTTAACCGGCGCAAGCAGAGATCAGAGGCGCTCTCAGATCACCAGCGAGTGGGAATGTTTCGAAATCACAGTCTTTGACACGATTCATCTTTCTTTAATTACACCGTTCCCAGGGGAGCGAGCGGGGTAGTTAACCAGTCAAATAAGCAGTAAAGCAATTATTGGGTCAGAATGAATACAATTCTGACATCTTTAATCACTAGGGGAGTCTGTGCCTGGAGAAAAGCAGGGTACTGGTCTCTCCCAGAGCTGGCAGATGAGATGAAACCGTGTCGCATTGGCTTTTCAACACTGAAGTGATCTTCTGAGATCGTCTCTAATCTGAACCTTTAACCTCAGGCTGTGGTTTTACTCTCCTGCGGTCGGCCTGACTCATTCTAACATGGTGCGGCTTTATTTTTGTTTAATCCGTGTGCTTATTCATGTTACAGCGCTGTATTCTCTCACATGACGTTGCTGTGGCTTCACATCTGCTTTGTGATTACGCTCCAGATCAGAGCTTCCCAACTGCTGGATCACGACCCAGAAATATAGCTTTGTTTTTCGCTGCTACGATAGCAACCAATGGAAAGACAAACAACAAGAGATAGAAGAAAACACGCTATTAGACTCAAATCAGTGAAGAAAAACCAATTGAGATGCTCTGATCTGGAGGCTTCTGTTCCCGATGAGTTCCTCGTCTGATTTTGTACCGCTTTCTTCCGCAGCTTCAGAGCGAGCTGGACCAGGAGTATCAGGACAAGTTTCGGAGGCTCCCAGCAGAAATCCAAGAGTTCGTGCAGGACTCTGCTGCTTGTAAAGGCAAGTTCAGCCAAGACAGTGACTTTCTTCCCATTTCCAGAACGCCAGGGAAGCTGAAGCCCTCGCTCTCGCCAGCTGAAGATGTGGAGCGATCTTCAGAGAAAGTCTTCGACACGCCACTCTGAGCTTGTTGTACCTTTGTAAACATGTTTTTGTACTTCATACGCTGTTGAGTTTCCCTGATTGAATGTGCACCTTTTAGTACGACGACTGGATGACTTACTTGAACAATGTTAAAAATAATTTTCCTCTTTTTTTTTACTTTTAAAACTCTTGAGTTTTCACAAGAACTTGCTGCTTATGTGGATTTAAATGTGTATGTGTTTAGACGGACTGTCATGTATGTTTAGATGAGTCTCTTAATGATTTCTAACGGCTCTGAAGTCTTTTAATATGAAATTTAGGCTCTAATTATGTCACATATGTTATCATGGACCGCCCGGCCACAATTTAGACTTTGTATGAATTCAGTTTTTAATAATATAACAACACGTGGACATGAAACATAAAGGCATCAAGTGATTCATTTGCTTGCATGTTATTGTACAGAAATGTGATGTGGAAGGAAAACAAGAATATGAAGATTAACATTTATGCATTCGGCAGACTTACACTGCAGTCTCTCTGGGAATCGAACCCATGACCTCGACGTTGCTAGCTTGATCTGCTGTCTGAGCTGCAGGATGATGCTTAATAAAGAGGTTTAACAGATTCTTATGTGCCACAAAGAGGAATATTTGATCACAAATGCACTGTGGGAAAATGTTTAACTGGACCAAAGCTTTCAAATGAAGATGAAGTTTAAAGTCAGCAGACTCTGTCATTGACGTGATGGATGTACAGTTGAGGTCAGAAGATTACATGCACCTTTCAGAATCTGCAAAATGTTAATTATTTTACCAAAACACGAGGGATCATACAAAATGCATGTTATTTTTGATTTAGTACTGATCTAAGATATTTCACATAAAAGACATTCACATATAGTCCACGAGGAAATAGTTGAATTTATAAAAATGACCCCGTTCAAAATTTTACATGCGCTTGATTCTTAACACTGTGTTGTTACCTAAATGTTTTTTTAGTTTAGTGATAGTAGTTCATGAGTCCTGCATTGGTCCTGAACAGTTAAACTGCCTGCTGTTCTTCAGAAAAACCCCTCAGCTCCCACTAATTCTTTGCTTTCTAGCATCTTTTGTGTATTTGAACCCTTTCCAGCAATGACGGCATGATTTTGAGATCCATCTTTTCACACTGAGGACAACTGAGATACTCAAACACGACTATTACAGAAGCTTCAAACACTCACTGATGCTCCAGAAGGAAACACCATGCATTAAGAAAACCTTTTGGAGAAACTGTAAAGTGTATGTAAAATTTTGACCATAACTGCATTTACCAGAGGAAGAAGTGAACATTTGTGTGTCTGTATGAAAGACTCGACACTGCCAGTTTCTGAGGTTCTTTTATCAATGTTTACAAGATGAAGTGTCTGATATTGACCCATGTCAAAACAACACTAGTGCCACAAACATCTGAGACGTGCCTGTAGATCTCGAGATGTGTGTGAGTCCTGTGCTTCTGAACACGCGTACCTTCTTAATGCATCATGTGTAAATTTGTCATTGTGGGCGTCTAGTGCACTGAGTGAAGCTTGTGACTGGCAGTATTTCAGAGAAATGTTACATTCATAGACACCTTCATGCGCTTTTCAAGTTTCTTCACGCTGATGTTGATGTACGTGAAGCTTCTTGAAATCAGGTCAAGTGTAAGCGGGTTATAAATGCCTGCGGATGAAATAAACGTAGCTTCTGTCTCAATGTGTGGTGCACTCTGGTGTTTGGTTGAGTTTTGCTGGTAGTTGTAGTTGTTGAAGGTCAGCGTGCCTGTTCCTGACCCGCTGAAGAGTTATATGCGGTTTCTGCAAAGCACCTTGGGAAGTTCTTCTGACCGGCTGCTGAGCACATTTCTCCTGAAGAGATTCACTGGGTGTCTGAACCCTGTTTAATGCTGTATAAATCTGCTGTGCTTTAATGTGTTTAGGATGCTGGGAAACACTCTCATTAACCGTAAATAATACGGCCGTATTTCATGTGCTGCGGATGACATGAACAGAAACTCAGCCAGCTTTATGTCCGTGCAGAGAAACTGTGTGTGTGTGTGAGAGAGAGAGAGAGAGAGTGTAAGTGTGTGTGTGTGAGAGAGAGAGAGAGAGTGTGTGTAAGTGTGTGTGTGTGTGAGAGAGAGAGAG